CAGCTGCTGCCACTCCTCCAGGGTGAAGTCCACAAACACATCCCTGAAGGTCAACATTTCCTGCAACAGCACACTCCTCCTTAGCCCACTGTCAAAACAAGGTGGGCAGTGGGGGGGGGGCACTGGCATCTAGAGGGTAGAGGCCATCGATGTTGCTAAATATCCTCCAATGCACATGGCAGCCCTCCACAACACAGCATTATCTTGCCCAAACGTCAAGAGGGCACAGGTGAGAAAACCTGGGGTTGAGCAGTGAAATGGAATGATCATGAAAAGGACTAGAATGTGCTGTAATATGCGAAAAGAAGAAAATAAAAAGAAAAAGGGATTCTTAAGATAGATAAATAGGCACACATGATTTTCGGAAGAATGCATGAAAAAATGAAGGAGACACAAAGACAGGGTGAGAGGGAAAATTATTTTTCACCTTTTGATGAACAAAGTTTTGTTTGAATTTTTTGCCATATGCACAGAGTACTTTTTAAAATACTCAATTCAATTTATTAATGCTCTATTCAGAACATGTTTTTAGAATTTTGGCATCCATATTCTTAAGTGAAAGTGGTCTTTCACTTTTTGCTTTCTTGTAGTATCTTCCTTGAATTTAAGTTAACTGGCATCATAACATGTACTGGATTCCTTTTCACCTTTTAACAGCCTGGAAAAGTTGAACACAGAAATTATCTGCTCTTTAAAATTTTGTGAAAGCAGCAATTAGTCCAGGATTTGGAAGAGCAAATGTAAAGTGTGAACACCTTTGATTCAAAAATCCTACTTCCAGGTGTATTCTCCATAAATACCTGTACTAATGGGCCAAGAGATACATAGAAAGTTCTTCATGAGGCACTGTATATAATAGAAAAAGAAAATTAAAAATCTAAGTGTCCATTCGTAGAGAAATAGTTAAATGATACTTCTATACCATGAAATAGGAACTGAAATAATCTTTATGTACTGATGAGGAACAAAACCCAGAATACAATCAGGTGGGAAAAGCAAGATGGGTATGGGAGTGTGATGGCACTTGTGCAAAAACACATGTTACATATATGTCTATTTTTAGTTAAATTGATGTAAATGCATCTACAGCACCTTATCACCAAATTGTTAACAGTGGGCATCTGCGAGGAAGATGTGGTACTGGGGAGAGAAGAAGTAGGGATCTTTTGGATACTGTTTTTATGCATATTGGAACATGAGACATGGATTTACTTTCATTATTTCAAACATAATGAAAAAGCAAAAAGTGAACTGAAAGTGAAGAAATAGAAAAAGCAAGATGAGTCTATGTATTTAAACAATCTTCTCTGAGAAGGAAAAGAAAAAAAAGAAGAAGAGCAGTCCCAAGAGTAAGAAGTAGATTTTAAAAGTCTTTTCCTTTCTATCTTGTTCCTTTTTCTTTTCTCTTTTTTTTTGGTGAGGAGGGGAAGGACTGGAGAATCTGAGGTGGATGACAGGTTGAACAGAAAACAGCCAGAGCTAAGTGGACTAATAGATTTTTCAAGGCTGCAATATAATTTCCTAATTGCTGCCTCAAATTCACTGGAAACAAAGTAGGGGGTAAATTAGGAACTCACCTGGGACACGGCCATCTGGCTCTGCCCTGACAAAGGATGGAGATCTAGGAAGGCAGAATTAGGAGGGTCGAGATCAGTGCATACAGCCATGAGACCACCATCACCAGCTTAATAACAATCGCTCTTGCCCCACAGCGGGGATGATCTGGACACGTGGCTGGTAGCTCCAGCCTGTTCCCCTGGGACACGGCTAAGATCCTGTGTGTTTTCCACGTCAATTTATTTTCTCTTCCTGGACAGATTTATGACTTGTGTTTAAAGACATCTCCTCGGAAGCCATTAACAACCTGACATCTCCTTTCTCTCAGGAATTCTATGCCTGGAAATTTATCGTAAAAAGGCAATCATAAATAAGCACAGGCTACAAGGATGTTAACTGTAGGTGTTTCCACCATTCAACAATTTGGAAGCAACTAAACCTCCAGCAAAGGGGACTCAGATCAAAAATTAGACACGCAACATGGGAAATACCACATGGGCTTTAAAAATGCAATGCAATCCTGTTCTCATTTCTTAACGTATTTAAAAGTAGGTTACCAAAAAGCAAGTGTAGTGCGATCTCCTTTGTTAAGCAATATGCATTTATTGAGGAAGAGCAGTCCAGAATAGCATTTATGAAAACGTTGAGAGCGCTTACCTTCCATTGGTAACTCCACCTTTCCTCTTTTATTTACTTGCATTTTTTCATTTTTCTCAATATCATTTACTAGTAAAACAGAAGGGAGAAATTATTACAAATCACCTATTATCACACTGAGCCCTGGAGGTGATAGACCCTGAGCAAAGTCTGGAGGACAGGGACAGCTTGCTGTGGTTTGGAGGAAGGAGACAAACCAGAGCTGAGCG